GAAGTATATAAGCACCTCTTCTGAAAAGGTGAGACCCCAAAGAAAAATTAAATTCAAACCTGTTTTGTCTGTGTAATCAAACGTGTGTGCAGGGTACAGGCATACTCCCTGAAGACCTTAGAAAGCTGAAGAGGATTAATATATTCTTTCAGTAGAAGTAGCAAAGAACATGCTAGTTTGAGTCTCCTCCTTACAACTGTGCCTGACTGTGATGCCTCCTGACTCTTGTTGGTACCAAGCCCATGGTCCTGGTGCTCCCTCCAGCTGTAGCCCCAGCTGGATGCTACTCTGAGCACTGTGTCTGGAACAACGAAAATCCTGGGATGAAGCCGGAGGCCTCATAGCTCCGCCTTGTGCACTGGAGAGCTAAATCCCATGCGTGATGCATTCCTGCACAGTTGGGGTAACAGAGACATGGAAACAAGTAAGAGGAGCCTAAGGATTTGAACAGGAGCAGGGAGATTGGAAAGAAGACAGGACAAGCTAGCAAATAGATACTCAAGACAAGAAGGAGGAAAGTTACTGGTCCTTTTGGACTTGGAAGCAAGGTTAACTGAAAATGATAGAAAGCTAAATTTGCAAAAAAACCAAGACCCTCAAAGTAGAAGGTAGCTTGAAAAATGTGGGAAAAGGAGATCTAGCCAAAGTTTTGCTATAAAGGCAAGGACTGAACTGAGCAATGGCTCAAGGCTGAGTTTTGAGTTATCAAAGGTAAAAAAAAGCATCTAAAGTTAAAATATGCATCAGTAGTAACTGTTGAATACATTTCATGAACTGGACCTTGTCCTGCTCTCCAATAACCTCCATAGCTGACCTCAACTTAGTGGTATTTTCAATCTGGAAGAAAACAATAGATTCCACTGAAAATAATGAATGGTTCACTTGTGTGAAATGTATTCTGGTATACTAAGGGCAAACTATGGGAAAATAGCATACACAGCCCAGTCATGGGTACTCACAGGAACTGGCAGAACCTTGTCTTAAATTTTAATTCATGCGGCTCTTCACCCCCTCAGTCTTCAAGCTTTGAATTTGAGATTAGCAGGAAGTTACAATCAGTCAAGGATGAGGAGTGTCTCCCAGTGCTTATAGACTCATAAGCAAACCCCAGCCTGCACAGATCCTTTCAGCAGCAGCTGAGTAAATGGTTTTGGCAATGGAGTTGGTGTCTGGTATGCTAAAAATCTTACACAGCTCTAGTAGCTAATGGACTAGAAAATTAAATTACTCTAGGTTCATTCTTGATGTTCAGCCTATCTCTGTTGAATTTAATGGGTACTTTTGCCATGAAACTTATGGGAAGTAGCAGACATGCGTGCAATTCTTCCAAGGCTGCTGTATTGTATAAGTAGTTTTTTAATGGACCAATTTCCAGGTTGATAAAATTTCAAATAAGCCATTCAAAAATGTGTCTGAAAAGCATGGGCAAATAAATGCTATGTCGCTGAAGTATGTGAATAATCTGGCTGCAAAAAATGCTTTCACACACAAGTTGACACAAGATGTCATCACCTGTTAATATGGTGGCAAACCTCATGGCCCAGGGAGTGAGCTTGTGTTTCTTCTTTCTCTAAGTGATTGCTTTCTCTGACTGAGTGGGCAAGCATAGTTTTGCAAGGTTAAAGACCTACATTAGCCATTTAGATTACAAAGGTCAAAAAGCTGTGCAGTATCCCTACCAGATCCATCTGCACTGGGGTCCACTTTTGCTTGTGGTATGAAGAAAAATCTTTTGAAGGAAAACTGAACTTCTGACACTGGCGGTTCATCTTCCGTAATAGAGATGATTTCAAGACTTCCTGTAGTGGGATTTGTCTCTTGTACCTGGCTCAACAGAGAGGGGAAAAAAAAAAGAACATAATGATTAAACAAATTATTTCTATAAAAAAATCCAACCTGTCATCCTTCTCATGACATGAAGCGACATGTAGTTTTGCTTAATACTTCAGTTTTTATTCCATTTTTCAAAATTCAATACAGATACTCTGTGAATCCACAGACACACTTTCAAGAATGCTGTGTTTGACCAAAAGAAACCACCTTGTAAAATGTTGTCTACTTCACATTTGTGAGATGAGCTCTTATAATTTATTAGCTAGCAAACTACTGAAGTTACATTTTGTTCAAGTTTGTCTAAGCACCATAGCTACTTTAATGACTCACACCAGAAGTGTGAATCCATCCCTGCTCTTTAATTGCAACTGGAAACAGGAGAAAGACTAAAAAGCATATGACACCCTGCACAGCACCTGACAGGATCCTCGTGCACAAGCCCACTGAATTTTAATCCAGAAAACCTTTGATCAGTTTCTACACAATAAGAAACAAGGGAAATGGGATACACTAGAATTCAGGGTGAAGAGCTTTGAAATGCTAACTTCTGACTCCAGTTCTCCACACTGTCAGTGTCAAAAGGAATCAGATTTTTGAAATCACACTGGTGTGAAATAGGTCCAGGTTTGCTAAAGACAGTGGAGCTGGTAAGCTGTAAAAGCAGCGTAGGTGTTTGCAGAGTCAGTCCCAGAAAATGCTTAGCAAAGAATATGTGTTTTGTCAGCGAGGTTCTATCTTTAAATCGCCTGGAGTATCTTTTCACCTTTCAGCAAACAACTCCAATAAGGTTACTACTCTTTCATTGATAAAATTTCATATACATTTTAATGAACATAAATTAAATATTATATAGAATCTGCTATCTTTAAGGCAGAGAAAAGGATAGCTTGTTGTACATTATTTTTAAATGTTAAACAAAAAGGCTTCTAACCAGTGAGTAAGTTGTCCATGGGAAACAAAACAGCATTGTGAATTATACTACACAAAAGCTAAACACTGATGCGTCGGTTATTTAGAGGATACCACACGCTCCCAAAGCTTCACTCACCTCTTCCTGAGAAGTCATAGTTAAAAGCAAAACCGTTTTCTTTCTTCATTATCGAAAAGAAACCAAAAGGAAATTCTGAGGTTGCTAAGCCAGTCTGCTCTGGAAAGGTTTCCACTGAGCCTCCCGCGGCTGCCCATTCAGTCATCTGTCGCGTACAGCATTATGGCAGCAGCCTGTGTAATTCAAGCTGGTGAGGGGTATCGGGTGGCCCCGGGTGGCATGGCTACAGAAAGGGGAAGATAAAAATTCAGCAGGCTTTTTTTTTTTTTTAATTAGCCTAAGAGAGACCAGTAATATTGTAGTATTTGCAAACCTTTCTGCAACACCCCCCCGGCAAAGGAGCACCACGAAGGGCCCAGGCTCGTGCTCGCTCATCTTTTACCAAAAGTCATGCAGGGGAGAAGAGGAGTCTGCATCTCACCATGGGTGGCAGAAGGCAGAAGCCCCAGATGTTTTGTCTCTTCTGCTCACATGGCCCATAGGCTCACCTTGGTCTTCCTTCGCTTGATTTGCCCTTTGGTGTGTGCTTGCAGCGCACACTTAAAGAAGGATTTTGAAAAAAGGCTCATGCTTCAGTTATGGAGAACTCTTCTAGCTAAATATTGCACAATATTTTGGAGGTACTTCGCAAGCAGCGTTGCATATTTCTGAAGTACCAACTCATTTGTACTCTGGGATTTAGAAAATGAGAATGTTCTCAGCTTCATAAAATGCTCAAGAGTAGCAATAATTTGGTTTGGTTTTTATTACTAAGAAGAAACATGACAGTGGGGAAGGTGCAGGGAAGAAGGAGGAAACATGAAGCAAAAAGCCATGTCAGTGTAAGTGCAACAAGGGTCCCGAGAGGGCAGGGGAGAAATAAAGATTGTCCATGACAAAATCCATCTCCCTGGAATGTGGCTGCGATGAGGGAAGCTGTTTAGTCCCATTGTTGTGCACGGTGGAAACTGGCACTTCCAAAGGACAGGATGCCTTGCCACATTCCTGTAAACTGTTCACATCTAGGTCATGGCATCAAGAGCTCTTCCTCATCTCTTATGCCACTTTTTCAACAGCCTTCCTTGGAAATGGGAAACGCGAGACATTAAAATTAAAAAAAAAAAAAATAAAGTAAATAAGGATGGATAGGATGTATAAAGAAATCTGCTCTTCTTGAGTTGCTCACAGTGCTCTGATGCTCTCCCCACCATGCTGCAGTGATAGATGATGGGAGAGGCAGCCAAAACTGGCTAGATGCCCAAAGGGTAACTTCAGCCAAGGGGGAGAAAGTGAAGGCTCATTTCAGGACACCAGCAGCTCAGGTGACTCTTTCAGTCGATGGAGTGACACATCCTGTCCTCCCCAGGGAGCAGTGTTACCTTCAATGAGGACAGCCCAGGCCAGGGAAAGTTGATTCCAACCATTTCACCTGCTCTGGCCATGCTGGAAACCCTGGGGACCAGCCAGCATACCTCTGCAAAGGCTCTGGCAGTGGGACTGGCACCACCAGGATAGACAGGCTTCTGTCTGCTGCCACCCTGAGCATCTCCAAACCTATCCTCAGAGCATGATGTCTAGATGGGACATTGAGTTTGACCTTGCACAGCTGGCTGGCTCATTGCCTTTGGCTAAGACCAAAGCAGGAGCCATGTACAATAGGGACTGGAAGACATGAAAATTGAGCCCAAAAGGAAAGAATTCAGCCTACAAACTAACTTCTTAGATGCTGCAGGGCCTCACCTCCCCAACACTGCAGTAGCAACACAGGTGAATTTCTTGGCTTTCAGAAGACAATTTAAAATGAAGAGCTAAAGTGATCCAGCCTTAGACCCTTCAGCAGGTCCACACACTCTGTGGTGTTTACCTTGTTCTGCTGGGGCTGGTGGGAAAAGCCTGCAGATAGTTTTTGCTTCTTTAGCCACCTAAAACAAAAATTCGGAGATGCAGATGCTAAGAAAACAGGATGTCAGCTTTTGTCAGAAAAGATCGCAAGAGGTTTGAGGTTTGTTTTTTTTTTTCTTTAGCTGCTTCTTTTTTTCTCTCTCTCATTTTCTTCCTCCCTCCCTCCCTCCCTCGCACCCTCCTCCCACCTCCCAATTTCTGTCAGCGCTCAGCGCGCGGTCAGGGGAAAGGCGGAGGAGATGGCGGTGGCTGAGACACAGCTGTACGCAAAGGTGTCCAACAAGCGCAGGAGCAAAAGCACCTCTGCACTCCTCGAGTCTCTCCTCGCCAAAGGATTCCCGGCTCATATCGCGTGAGTAATGTGTTTGGCTGCCTTTGCACAGAAAGAGGTATTTAAGATATAAGATATAAGCTTTTTGTCATAAGATCTTGAAAGCAGACAGCTGTTTTTTTTTCATCAAGAGTGAGAGTGTGCTGCTTCCCAGGGGTGATGTTCCTGTGCAGGAATCAGACATGTCTTGCTTTGAATTTCTTGTAGAACAGTGTGTATTGCTCATATTGCAAAATCAAGTTACTCTGCATCCATTTTTATAAATACTGTGTATATCTAAAGACGTGCCCTTCCATGTCTTCAGGTTGAGAGGCTTTGCAACAAGTTAAGATGATGTCCAAAGTTTTCTCTTGTGATATACTCTCTTTCATTTTTTTCTGCTTATTGCTGTTACCATAAGGGAGTTAAATATGGATATAAGTTCCATCCTAAGGTTTTTTTAAGGGCTGACAAAGACCTTTTACAGGATTTTGTCACTGGAAACAGTTTTAAAAGAATAAGCTTTCCTTAACAAGATACCACATAGGTCTGTCGCTTTTTCTTCCTGTCTTGAATCAGGATCTTGTTCCAAAAGAATACCTTAGCCTCAAAATATAGTAGTGAAGAATCAGACACTATTTTTGGCAACCTCAATGGATGAGAGATTAAGTGGTCACAGCATTTCCAACCAAGTTAATAAAAAAGAAACATTGGGGTGACTCCTCTCCCAAACATTGCCCTAGTCAGGGAAGTTTTGGGGAGGATTTTTAAACTTCTGAATGGCAAGTACGGGCACTTCAGTTCAAACTGTTCAAAAACTAAATCTCTTTATATAAATGTCAAAGAACTCCTCATTAAAAAAAATTAACAGGAGAACAATATCATTCCATTTTGACTCTTCTTGGAAAAATAAGCAAGTCAAAAAAGGTCACAAGCAAGTGCTGTGTTGCTTATCTAGAAACACCTCAGTGGAGCAACTTTCAGACACAATGGGCACAGCTTACAAGGAAACTGTGGATCCCTTTTTCCCAGCTACACCTGGTGGAATTTTAGTTGTGCAGCTGAAAACCTGGCTCATCATTTCTCTAATAATACTATGTTTGGTCGCCCCAAAGCAACTGCTACTTTTTGAATTTTTTATCCTGGATGTTCTTCAAATCCTCTTTGAACCACTTTCTGCTGGTACTGAGATGGTTTTCTCCTTCCCAGGTCAAAAACAAGAAGCAATGGCAGAAGTACTATGCAAATTGACATAAAATGACAAAACATCCAAAAGCACTTTATTTTTTATTTTTTAAATTTTCTTTGCTTGTGTTGACTTTAAGACCTTCAAAATTTTGACTGTGTTTTCATAAAATGTTTTAGCTGTGTCTGTAATGCCTGTACTGAACCATAAACTAAAGTACTGAGAAGCTGTTCTTTTGAGATGTCCTGGCCCGAGAAAAACAAGGAAGGGTGGAAATACTACAAAGTCTTTCACAATGTAGAAAGAGCACGCCAAAATAACATTTCCTCAAAGAACAAAAACAAAATATGTGAGGATCAAGCCTAGCATTGATCGACAAAATGGGCCTCCCCTGGTTCTTTGGCAGAAGTGAACTGTATCAGCAGCTTTCTGCTTTAGAGAAGAGTCAGTTTATTCTCCCTGTAGTGACACTATTTTTAATACAGATTTTCAATGGTTTATTCCTACTCTTTATCTCAGAGAATTTGCTATGTACAGAATTTAGTTCATGTATTATCTTTCAATATTTACTGTTTATCTTGTAAGCATAGCACGTCTAGTCACAGCCTAATGCTCTCCAGACGCTAAGGGCTCTACGAACCCCGATGGAAAGCATCCTGCAGCCAATGTATACGATGAGACAAAAGGTGGGCACAGGCACAAAGAGGAGCACAAGGGAGCAACGGGGTAGTGCTGAGCAGCATGACAGTCCAAGCTCTCAGATCTTGCTTGTTTTATTACATTTGTGGTTGTGCAGGCCCTAGGGTAAAGAAAAGCTGAAGTGAAGCTCCATTTGGTTTCAGGGCTGTTTGCACAGAGCTTCTTTCCGAGTGGGAGGACCAGCAGCAGGGCATGAAGTGGTAAAGCACTCGCTTGGAGGTGTAACAAGTGGTTGACAAAGCCCAGCATCATTGGCTGAGCAGTGGCAGGCACTGACATTTCAACAGGATACGGCCTGAAGGGCTGCACGGGGAGAATGCCTGAAACACAGGTTGTTCGTGCTTGATGTGACAGAGAAAGGGGACCCAGCAGAGGGGCAGAAAGAAAATGTGCAGGACTATTCAGTCACAGAGGACACAGGCTAATTTTACACCAGCTAGCTCATGGTTTTGCATAGAATTGGCCATGGCAATTGATTTACTTTATGGACAAGAAAGGTAGAAGATAAAGCTTGAGTGGAAAGACTCACATCAGCTCTCATCCATGTTGAGCCCCCACTAAAGAGCCAGGCATGGTTGCACATATATGTAAGTGCATTTCAATGTTTTTGGCAAGCCCTGATGTACGTTTTGCACTAGATAGAAGACAGGTTAGAAGGAAACACTCAGGATGAGCCTGAGTCCTGTTGCTTAATGCATTCATTGCACTGCTGGTGTGACAGAGATGAATGGAGGATAAAAACATGAGGAGAACTAAATGAATCAATGCCCTCAAGACCCGGCAGCCAGAAAGGGTGGCCTCAAGATAGAAGAAAAGGGATGACCAGATGCCAAGCAATTTAGCATGTTTTCCTCCATGTCCACTGTCTCTACCTCCCCTCCATGTCTCTTCTGAGAAGTTTGTGAGTTACAGGACTGAAAATGGGGTTCATGGGTGCAGGTGCTACTTCAACATTGGAATCCTTCACCCATCACCTAGCATTCAGTCACAAAGACTTGTTCATGTGAAGCACATAGCTGGTGTTCTGAAAGCTCTAGTGAGAAAAGCAAATGCACATCAAATCTGATCCTAGAGAATGACACTTGTATTAACAAAGAGAAATGTGAGATATTGTCCCTCATCTTGGACTGAAATGGTGGCTGAGATCTGGCTCAGATCTGGTTCTCTGCTGGCCTATGTGAGATCTTCAACACAGATTTTCAAGCCTCAACATAAGTATGTTTTGCTTTGATTATAAGTATAGACTCGGGCCTGTCATCTTGAACCAGGACATTATCCTATGAACTGAGCAAGCCCTGCTCTTTCAGTGCGTGGATGGATGGTTTACCCAACCCTACGGAAATCTGTATAGTCTGTAAGGCTGCTTAGGAAACACCTCCACAACACAATGAAGGACATCCTGGGGGGGAGACAGGTTACCAGTCTTCAAGGAATTAAAGACTTGCAGTGGAAAAAAACTATCTGAAGGGCTTCAAGAACATTAGTAATTACCAGGAATGGCCTAGTTGTTAAAGGTTCTGTGTTGGAAAATAGACTTGGCGTCCACAGCATGTCGATTCTTTACTTTCTAGGAGTTTCCTTTCTGTTATTCCGATGAATTAATTTTGTTTTTTTTCTAGGCAAAAAGCCTTGGCTGCTACTGGACAAAAGACAATAGAAGATGCTGCAAAGTGGTAAGTACCTGTGATTTCTAAGGAGTGCTTTCACATTAAATCTGGGTAAAAATCCTTCTTGGTATGTTGATTCTGTCACTGAATTTGAAGTTAGCTGCCATAAGAAACCCTGCATATGAGGTTTTTGGGTTTTTTATGTTTAAGTTTATTCAGAGAAAGAAATAATTGTATTTGTACTGGTTATTTGCAGAAGGTCTAGGGTGAACCAAAAAAGCTGGGGAGAAAAAGGCAGCTTGGATAAAAGAAGCTGCTTTCACCGCAGTGATGTTAGTCACTCCTTCTCAGTTTTAAGCCTCCTGCTTATTTATGGCCATCACTCACTGCCTCTGCAAAGGGTTCCTGGGATCTGAGCCAGGATTATGGGCATGCACCAGGACACGTCCAGGAAGGAGGTCAGAGGCCCTCCTTGGGTAAATGTCCTCCATGCCTTGGTTTTTTATTTTTTTGTTTGTTTGTTTGTTTGGGTTTTTTTGTGAGAAGCCAGAGGAGACATTTGAGAATGGTAGATTCTTCTCAAATAATTTTTTGTCCGGGATGCTGCCATGCTTTCCAACAATCATTCCTGATCCAACATCTGTGAAGCCAAATATACAGTATATGCAGAACAGAGTGGAGGATATCACCATGTGGGATATGAGCTTCTGATCTTTGCTTGTGCATTTTCTCATTTGTCTTGCATGCTTTTACTAGGGCTGAATAAAAATCCTAGCTCTTTTTGAGTGTTTTTTTTAATATTCTATTATTTTTCATTCTGGCATTCTTCAACATTTTTTTCCCATTTTCCACTCTGTTTTGAGTCATAAAAAAGAAGTAATAATTACCTGAGAAACCCTAAAATAAATCTTTTTTGTTTTCTTTCATTTTCTGATATTGAAAGAAGTGAAGGCACATAGTAAAATGTGAAGTACACAAAAAATAAGCAGAAGAAAAACTCATTCTCCATTAGTTAGTATTTCAGAGTCAAAATTTGTAAAGGGTTTTTATTTTAGCTTTTCATTTGTAAGGAAATAACAACCTTGTGTTTCCTTTTTCTGGTCTCTATTATGGATGTCTTCAACCACAGGAAACAAAAGTAAGTGGCGCACACACTTATTCTCTGTGATACACTCTTGATTTCAGGTTGCACTCCCACTGCAATGATCCCTCTCTGGAGGACCCAATCCCTCAGGAGTATGCTCTTTACTTGTGTCCCACCGGCCGTTTGCATAACCATCTGCAAGAGTTTTGGAAGGAGAGCAAGCGCCAGTGCGGGAAAAACAGAGCCCACGAGGTTTTTCCACACATCACTCTCTGCGACTTCTTCACAGTAAGGCACAAAAGACTTGGCAAGGGTCGAATATCAACAACGGGTGAAAGTGGACCGCCTACAGTTGTCTTACACCAGAACTTCTCCTTGGTGATCAAACTAACATGACCTAGGTCCAGGCATGTTTGCTTAATACTTGAATGTTCAGCCCCTGCATAGGCACAGGGGGTTTTCTTCCCACCACCTCATCATACCTAAAAATTGTATGCTGTGGCCAGTGGGATGCTTCAGGGTAGCTGAGTGACATGTGTCTAGCATCTATCTAGAGCAACCCTGTGCAGTCCAGGCTGCACATGGACCTTCCAGTGGGAAGCACTTCTCCCCACCCGCAGCTATGGGCAGTCAAGAGAGACCATGCCCATTGATGCATTGATCTAGGATGTTAAACTTTCCTGCCCAGAGCAGCAGTGACTGCCTTCAGCCAACTGTGCAGGAGTAACAGCTTTATCATAGGATGTAGACAACTTTGGTACTATGCCTATGGGAATCTCAGGGAAATCCCTGTCTCCCCTAGAGAGCCCCAGACAGAAGGTCACTGCTATGGTGGCATGTCTCAGGCACTTCTAAGTCTTCACTTAAGAAGACTATTATCTATTGAAGCTTAGATGTTGTGAAAAAGAGAGAAGCAAGGGTGGAAGGAGCAAGGGGAACTGGGCTGGAGTCCAGCAGTGCAATTGAGTCACTTTGTCAATAATTTAAAATGGAAGTCGGGCTCCTGAGCTGGACTCCATGGGCTGTTTTCTGGTTCTGGAGATGCTACTGTCCTCCTAGCTAGCCTTCTGAATGATGGATAACCCTCTAGAGAACTTCCCAGCAGAGCTGCTTCTCCTACATGGGTGAATGTGCCAGTATCAGCAAAGACCAACAAAGGTCTGGAAAACCTCTGGAGCCGACTGGTATCCAGTTTTTGCATGGTGATGGTGCTGCACGTGAACATCAGCTGCAGCTGAGTGTGCTGAAACAGACACGAGTTAGAGCAGCTGGACAAAATTATTATGTTAATCAATCATACTTTCATGCTAAACCATGCTGCTAAGTATAGACAATGAAAATAAGAGTATTTTGTTGCAGAATATTGAATAGCAGGATACCCCGTGGCCTTTAATCACAATTATACAGAACAAAAATCATCAATTAATAACGAATGCCATGCTGTTGAAAGGTGTCAAGTTTAAAGGCCTACCCCTGGAAGACATGACTGAATTGCAACCCTCACCTCATGCCCCTCAGCCCTGTTTCAGGTAGCATATTCCTGGGGGTAAATGCACTCTCTGGTGTTATTCTCTGCTCCTCAGCTGTCAGCAAGAGGTGACCTGGGCACCTCAGAGGCAGAAAGCGAGACTCACTGACCTGGCTCCCACCTCCTTCTCCCAATCCAGCCCTCTCCTGTTTCCTGACTCTCCATGTCTTTTGCAGCTCCTGGACTTGTCAGCCCCAGAGGAGGCTGCTGCATGGCACGTGTCCTGGTGCAGGATCCCCCTTGCCCCTTTCCCCCCACAGCCCAGTCTGCCCAGTGCCCCTCAGGTCATCTCCCCTCCCCACACCTGAACCTCACCAGGCAGTGGGTTTGTGGCTTAAGAAATGCTCAGGAGAGAAAGACAGTCTAAGCAGGTCTAAGCTACTTTCTTTTCTTCTGCTATTCCCTTTCAGCAGCTTGACCCAGTGTAAAGGCTAAATGGAGCAAATAGCTCTGTGGGCCAGAAAAAAGCAGTGTGGAAATGGAGCATCATTAATGTTTCTGTCTTTGGCTGAGCAGCACAAATTTCATCTTTGTCTCTTCTCTGCTTAAACTGCTTAATTGCAATTTTTTGTTGCAGCATGGCTCTCTAAAATCCTTTTATTTGCTGTGATTAAGGCATTAAGGATCATAATGGCAAAGACGCCAAAAGATGACTGATTTTGCTAGGTATGTCACTCAGCATCTGAGATCTTGAAGTTTTAGCAGCAGCGATTTCAGCTGTTGGATAACAATAATGCAAATTCTTAGAATTGAAGAGAGAAATCATGATCCCTGCCTCTTTTCAGACAGGTTAAGGCACACCTGTCAAATGGTAAAATATTTTGATTCTTTCCTACCCAGGCTAGGTAGACCTTCTAGTAGAATCATAGAATCATAGAATGGTTAGATTTGGAAGGGAATCATAGAATCATAGAATGATTCGAGTTGGAAGGGACCATAAAGACCATCAAGTTCCACCCCCCCTGCCCTGGGCAGGGACACCTCCCACTAGACCATGTTGCTCAAAGCCCCATCCAGCCTGGCCTTGAACACCTCCAGGGATGGGGCATCCACAACTTCTCTGGGCAACCTGTTCCAGTGCCTCACCACCCTCACAGTAAAGAATTTATTTCAAGTATTTAATCTAAATCTCCCCTCTTTCAATTTAAAACCATTACCCCTTGTCCTATCACTACATTCCCTGATAAAGAATCCCTCCTCATCTCTCCTGTAGGCCCCTTTTAGGTATTGGAAGGAAGACTTCATCTCCTATTATAGCACCAGGATACTGTGATGATCAAACTGCCCAGTACTACTGATTTTAATATCAGGAATTTCAGGAAAGTTCGTGGGTGTGTTGTCATTCTCAGGAAGTCTAATGCCCACTCTGTTTTCTGGTATTACTGTACGACCCAGGCTACAATAGAGGGACTTGAGCCAGTGGGTAACGCCTGCTCTTCTTCTATTTTCTTTCAGTGTGAAGACCAGAAAGTGGAATTATTGTATGACATCTTAAAGCGAGTTGGTGACAGCTTTTCACAGAGCTTTCCAGCATCCATTTCCCTGTCACTACATTCATCCACCAGCTATCTTGGCTTTTTTGTTGGTGACAGCCATGCAAATATCCTCAAAGAGTTTGCTCTGTCATTCTCATCAGAGGCTGCAGCCCTGGCAGGTAGGACCAACATCAGAAGGAAAATGGGTGGATTGTGGCACAAATGCTTAGGCATGGTACTTGAAAGCATCTCCTGTGTCTTCAGGGAAGCTTAGCTGATGTTTTATGCCAGCAAATATCCTTTCTTTCTACAGATTTGAAAGTAATATGGCTAGGTGAGCACGTTTTAGACTTTGAAGACACTGTACTTTTGACTAAAAGCTGAAATGGTTGTCTGTCTAACTCCATAGGCCAAAATTCAGATAACCCAGACCTCCATCCCCATGGAGCTATGGCCAAGCCTGGTGGCCTGACAGCTTGCCTGAGGAATAGGTCCTAATTCCCCCTCCAGCGACATCCAAGGCGAGCTGCATCACCAGTGGAGACTGAAGGCACATATCTCCAGGACAGCTTAATCTGGGAGAAATGAGTTCAGTACATCTCAGACTGGGAGAGGAATTCAAACCCTGTTAATTATTTTTTTTCTCACAGCTGAAGCCAGGGAGAAAATCCAGTCCAAATTTGTGAGTTATTTTGGCGTGATGAAAACCATTACATTCTGCAAAACAGTTACTCAGCAGAACTATGATCTACTCTACTACTAATGACTACGATATTTCCTCTATCATGAAAAGCATACAGGACAAAACAAGAAGAGCTTTAAATGATCTTCGCTTCTATCTTGTGACATGATTGTTTTATTCCTAGATTGCCATGTGAAGCCCTGCCTAAAGCAGCTCCACCTTACCTTGGCTCACAAGTTTTATCCTCACCACCAGAAGACTTTGGAACAATTGGCCAAGTACATTAACCCAGAAGAGACCTGCCAGTGGGTAGCTGCTCTCTACTCACGGGACATGCGTTTTGTGCATTACCAGGTACTATCATCAGACATATTTAATTTCCAGAGCCCATGGTCAAACTCATTGCTACAGTCATCTTGCCTGCTTTCTTTTTTTTCATTAAGAAAATCAGTGCATGCACAGTACACTGTTTCAAAAAACATGGTTGTTTCAAGTACCTCTTTGGTTGAAAAACTGTACTCATGAATGAGTAGAAGATACTTTTATGATAGCCTGCTTGCCCTGCATGTCAGAAAGGTCCTAATTCCAAAATCCAGCAAAAAAACACCCAACCTAATCTTACCAGTACATGAGAAAATAAGAGAGACGGGAAAATTATGATGTTTGAATATTTGCTAGGATTTGTCAGAACAAAGCTTTGCAGTAAAATAGCATTCAGCAAAATTAGTTTTCGTCATTGTTCCAGCCATGATGAAAATTGCACAGATTCAATATCAGTGAGCAGAGCACAGTTCTCAGTGATTATTTTCAGTTCAACAGATTCCTGGTTAAAGCCAGTAAACACTTTTCCAGGTTTCATTTCCAAATTTAAATTATGGAATGACCAACATTTTTTAGTCAGATCAGTATATCTCTTTGTCGCAAGTCTCATATTGGATTTTGGTCACACTCAGGAGAGCTGCAAGTATCACAAAAATAGCTGATAACGCCTTTATTATGTCTGCTTTCAAGTAAGTCTGTACTGGGTAGAGGGGAAAAAAAAAAAGTATTTTTATGAAAACCAAGTGCCTATTTTTACGCATACTGCAATTGTGGTAGAGTCTTCCTTTTTCTTGGCCAAAGTGCCGCTAAAGAGTACGCTGCAGAGTGGAAAATAGCACCGGTCACTGTATCCAGTATCGAGTTGAGCAAGCATCCCCTGAACCACTGCGGCACATGCAGCAGTGGGCTCTGGCCAGCAGCCTGACCCTGCTACGTGTTCCTCGCTAGACGCTGAGGGCCCTCTTCCAATACAAGCCCCAGAACATCGATGAACTCATGATCAACACTGGGGACTTCATCTATGTTGACCCGAGGCAGCAGTCCGACGTGAGTGAAGGCTGGGTGATCGGGACCTCGCATCGGACCGGCTGTAGGGGTTTCCTTCCTGAAAACTACACCGAGAGGGCCAACGAGTCAGACACGTGGGTTAAGCACCGGTAAGTCAGGGTTTTGTGGGTGTTGCTTTATGTCAGCTGGTTTTCCTGCTTGGGCAGCTGTGGCAGCGTTCCTCCTCACCGTGAGCGGTGGGCTGCCAGGCAGGAGCTGGAGGTGATGTGGGCAGAGCAGAGGTGGGTCCTGGGGCTCTGGGTGGGATGCTGAGACTTCTGGAAGAAAAGACATAAAACACACACCCACAGTCACCCAGAGTTCATTAGTTCAGCTGCTCAAGGGCTGACCTCTGCTTGCTCTTGAACAACCTTAACGTCCTAATGAATTTTAAAACACCACATTCTGCCGGGCAGGCTGAGCCTTCTGCCTTGGCTCACTGCTTGCTTCTTTCTTCTTTTTTCTCCTTTCAAGAGCTTGCAAAGTTAACTTGAAATGAAACCACGAAAAGGTTACTCCACCACCTTGAGCCCACCCTCATCTTGTTGATTTACCCTGTATCAGCAGGCATCTGTCTGGCTTCCTGCACTTTGCTCTGCAGCTGACAGCACAGCTGATGCTACTTGTAGATTAGAGCTGATTTTTTCTAAGCCAGGAGGAGTAGGTGCACTTCTTGCTGCATCCTCAGAGACAGAGAGGAGGCAGCCAGGTATTATTTCCTGTTTGAAGCTTATACTTTAGCAGGGCTACACCCAATATATGCCATCAGTTCATATTACTTTACCCTCATTTTTACTGGGCAGATTTTAAATCAAGAACAGTGTGACAAAGTGGATTGTAAGCGTGCAAAAAAATATTGAATGAATCCTGATTTACACACGTCTGTGGACAAAATCGTGACTTAAATATCCCTTCTATTTGTGTGTGCACCCATATGTTGGTGTGTGTCTTGCTTCTGCTTTTTCTACAGGGAATATGTTTTTGTGACAGCTTCAAGGTTATTCACGCAATCTGAAAATGAACCTAATGTAAAGCTGAATGGAGAAGTCCATAATCCTACTGTGTCAAGGAGTGTAACCAAGGTACTTTCTCTTCAGGTAATTGTTTTTTTCCCATTTCTTATCTCTACCACGTGCTTGTGCAGATATGCTATTAATTACAAGCATTTAATCAATTTAATAGTGTCTTCCTTTTTTGTCCTGCACTTTCATATTATGTTGTAATGCACGCTCATGCGCTCATACTGTATGATATAATATCTCAAAAATATTTTGTAACCTATCTGATGTACATTAATCTTGCCTTCTTTGGTAAAACTCTTTTCGTTCCTGTCATACTAGCACAACGTATGAGAACTCTGCTCAGGTTTCTCTTGCCTTACTGGGCAAGCTGTGCAGGGGTATGGTGACAAGTCTGTCAAGTGAGACGCAGGTGCAACTTTCGGATAGGTTCATAGCAGAGTAACTAGAGCAGAATTAGGCTCATTGTTACTTTTATGTCCAGATTTTATAGATGTCACTTTGGTGGGTTTTGTGGTCCCAGATCTTAGCACAATTAAATGTTTCATCTTCTTTTGTATTTTTATATACATAGCTAATGCAAATAACTGCATAGAACTGCAACAAGAGAATAGCTAGATAGAAAGGTTAGCAGCATTGATGGAATTATATTTTTGTTCCAGTTTCAAAATCAACATGTATGATTTTTTTTCCCCAGGTTTTCCGCTGGTCTTCTAGTAGGAAGAGCAAAACAAATAAAGACTCTATTTGTTTAGTTCAGCACGTTTGTTCCTGCATTGCCTGGCTCTGACTGTCAGGGGTGCCAAGCACCTGGCACGCTGACATGCTGCAGAAAGCCTCTTGGGCTTGCTGGCCCCACAGTCTCTCTTCTTGCTGTGCTGGGGAATAACACCGGGTTCATTTGTGCTAACATCAGATAAACTTGAGGGCATCTTGAGGGAACTTCCATCCTGAGGTCTCCCAGGATGCTCTGTGTGTGCCTGTAAAACAGAAACTTCTGCAAAAGTCACACGTTCTTTCACTGGTTCTTGATTGCTCTTGGCCTCTCTTATCTAGCTTAGATCTGTGGCAAAGCCACTACTTGGCCTGAGGAACACGTTGTGCAGATGTGCACGTCACCAGTCTAGGAGTTTCCCTGGCCTCTGGGTTCCTCCTAAGCAGAAGAGCAAGACCACAAAACCATAGTATTAAACCCTGATCTTGTGGCGGTTGATTTGTGTTCCATGACAGAAATGCAATCGAGGTTAGCCCAATACATGAATATCAATCTCATGCCACTTCTTAAGAGTTCCTTTCTCTGCTGCTGAAGATACACATCGCTAACCTTAGTGCTGCAGCAGTGATGTTGCAGTGGGTTACTGTTAAAAAGTTTTAAAGCTTTTGACTTGTTCCTCTCATCTTTATTTAAGATGCATTGTATACTAACCCCAAGCTACTTTGACTTCTTTGTTATTCCATGCAGTCTGAGTAAAAAAGTAGCCTCAGAGGAGAACTGTGGGTCAGTTGAGTATTGTAAAGGTAGTGTTTTCATTAGGAAGGGAAGGACAAGCTTGGTGTTAGTCCTGGTGTAGAAAAGAGCATTACCACTTAAATCTTAGCTAGTTTTCCTCTTTCGTTTATGCCGGCTATATGATATATATTAAAATTTTAATGCCTTTCTACACTGGAATTAAAAAATCTGTTATCAGCCTTACCTTTCACTAGTGTAAACAGAGAGTTAAAACCTAATCTGTAGCCCATGAAGGTCAGGAATCTCTTTCATTTGCCTTCAGTCAGGCTTACTATTGTCCTAAAGACGGGTATCTATTTTAGCAGTTCCTTTATTCCCTGTTCTGTGCTTGTTATAAACCTCACAGGACAAGTCTGCTGTTCCTTTCTCCACCAGGCAGCATCCAGGAATCCAGACTTTTCATGCAGGTTATCTATAATATTGTAATGAGACATCTTTTTTACACAGGTCTCTCAGAATGCCACTCTGAGAAGAGGCATGCTGGTGATGCGCCACGGAGAAAGAGTTGATCAGGTCTTTGGCAAATCTTGGCTTCAACAGTGCTTGACTGCAGATGGTGAGTAAGATAATGGAAGGTCCTTAGCAAGTCGGGACTGAAAGTAATTAACCCCAGTAATGGGTACAAGAGGTTCAGACTCCTATGTGTAAATGTAAACGCTGGCACAAAAGAGTGAGTAACACTGCAAGCCAGATACAGCACTGCTTTGACCAGCATGTTACCAGTATTTCATCATGTCCTAAAGTCCTTCGTGTTTGTGTTGGATAATTTGGGACAACAATAGTACGTCACTAGTCAAATCTGGGGAAGAAGAGCACACAAACTGTGGTGGAAATGAGATGTCCGCACTATACCTAAATTAAAAGCTGAATTTACTGGCCCTCTCCTTCAAAAAGTATGTTCTGACATGAAGAAAACTGACCCAGAATGGGGGAATACATGTCGGGAGGAAGGAGGGGAACAAGAAGGTGGAAGTTCAGAAGGGAGAGCCTTACGCTGAAAGTATCTTTTGTTATGCTGGAGATCTCCAGTATGCTGGAGATGCTGGAGATCTCCTATACTAAGTGTGCAAAATTCACACTAGATAAGAGAGTAGTACCTTCTGGTTGCATAATCAGTTCATTGCTTTCATTTTTCTTCAGTAGTAATGCTGGGTTTTGTCATTTTGGCAATAGTAAAAGAATATTGATATAGAGTAGATTTTTGTTTCATTTGGGCCCCGCAAAGCTGAATTATCACGATTTCCTGTCCTCTCTCTCCTCCCCCATTTTGCTCCTTCAGAGCTTGCAAAAGAGGTGCTATTTTGTTAGGACAGGTGTTTTCCCAAGCCGGTGTTGTGACCTTAAAACTGGAGATCTCTTTAAGGTAATAAAGATCTCTTTAAGGTAATTGAGGTTTTTTTTAATCAGTGAGACACTATGTCTGTAGTACTAAAATAATCCTGGATGCATCTGAGTTCAGGCACTGCCCTGTGTTCCCACAAACTGCTTAGCTATTAACTGTCTCCTTGGCGTGGTCTTGGCTGATGGCAGCTCCCTCTCACCCACATGGTTTCCAGGTGAGACTTGGGGAGAGCACAGACCATAGTTGGTCCCAGTGGACAGACAGCATGGTTGTTTGAGGTGGAGGGAAGAGAGACTAGCTCCTTGGGCAGACGCCCTGCTTCATCACTTGCCCTCATGGCCAGAGAACGGGCCCTGATCTGTTTCATTTGCCAGTCAAGATCTCACTCTGGGATGACTTTTCAGAACCAGTCATCCAACCATTCAGAAGAAACGAAGCCATTATAATGAAATGCCACCTATGCATTCAGCTACTCACTGCCTTGTGCTGTGGCAAAATGTCCTGCCTTGTTTCAGGAAAATACTACAGAGCAGATCTGAACTTCCCTTCCACCCTGCCAAAGCGGAAAGACAGCATGAAGCACTTCGAATGTGATCCTCCTTTATCTTCCTGTGGTATTTTCCAGTCAAAGCTTATAGGTAAGCTGGATAATAGCCTACTGCAAATGTAAAGGTTTGGGAAGCAGGCTTTCATCATCTGCAAAAGCTCAAACTGGCTTTGCAGTAGAAAACCCTCCTATCAGCACTCATTGTGATAACACTTGTCTATGGGCAACTACGGCAAGGTCTTGTTAAATAGTAAAATAGAGAGCAGGGCTGTTTGCCCATCTTTGAAACCCATTGTGCCAGCTCCTGGCAGAGAAAGTTAAAAGAAAGAAGCTGCAACATGACCTGTGCCCTGCTGCTGGTCTGCAAGGGCCTAATGTCTTATGCAGAATGTCACTGAATGGTTGGCCAGAGGAAGCAGCTTCATGGTCAGCAGCATGTGGTCACCTCCATCACATGTACCTGACGGGTGAGTGGTATGGGTTAGTCTGAATCAATGCACTCACCAGATGAAGTTGTTTCTGCTCCCTGAAGTTGTTTCTGTACCTGACTGTGACAACACAAGCCTGGTGCAAATGCTTGTTTCTGACCATTCAGATACATGGAGAAAACCAAATGCCCAACTGCTGTTTGCAGATTTGGAGTGAATCTTCTGTAATAATCCTTCCAACATTCCTTTAACACCTGCTGTTGCAACTAGAATGAGCTTTTTAGTGAGCTCAGTCAGATGACGGTGTGAAAGATGAATAGAAAAGGACTATCGATGTACCCCATGTCAACGAAACTGAAAAGCTCCAAGCTGTTTTTTGCAGGAAGTATTTTGTAGTTGTTTCTTTGTTTCTCATCTGTCATGATTTGTAAAAGAGCGACTCACTTTGCTGTTCCCATCCAGGAGAAGCTTTGCTGGACCAGGAGGTGACAGTCAGCTATGTGTACTCATCACCCGCGCTCCGCTGCGTACAGACAGCTCAACACATACTGCAGGGTAAGGCAGCAAAACCCACCAGGTGCTTTTGCCACGGTGAAAACTTCTTCATCAAACTTCTGTGAAGTCTCTCAGATGAGCAATTAAGAAGATGTACGACTTTGTGGTTATTTGTTGTTATATTTACGCAGGGAAGACAAGGTAGTTTTGCCTAGCTGGTAATATAGGCAGTAATAAACCTGCTGCCATGTCTGAAGAGTACAATCCCATTAACTCTAATGCTCACTAGTTAAAATGGAATCTGATATTACAAGAAACAGAGGCATTTCACATCAGGTTGAATTCTACATTAGTAGCTGCTCATCAAATTGCCACCCTTTCCAGAAAATATTCTGAGCCAAAAAAGTTAGTATTTTCAGTAATCTGAAGAATATGTATGTGAATCAGGGAAGAGGGCTTTCTCTTGAAAGCGTTTGCCTTTGCCAGCCAAACTGGTTTAATTCCTTCATACTGCAGAACTTCTTTCATTCTTCTCCCCCTCCCTCTTCCACTCCTCTTTTTTCCTCTTTTGTCCCCTAGGACAGCTCTGACAGAGGTTTGAAGTTCATTACCATGTTTACATCAGAATTACAATGGGAGTGCATTTCTTCTAGGAAGTAGTGCTACTTAGTAACCTCTCTTGAGAATAATCAACAAAATAATGTGTGTTTTAACAAGAGAATTCAATTTCTAACACTTTAGGACAATTTATCGCCCCACTGGGGACCACTGAGCAAAATACTATATAAAGCTGGTAAAAACATTTTCTGTCTGAAGTTTATGCAGATTGCAACATTACTGAGGATTTTTTATTCTATTCTCTCCTGTACCTTACTTATCATCACAAGAGAGCTCCAGAAATAATAACAATAATGTAAGAATTTGTAGCGCCTTAGCGTTAGTCAGACAAAAATGTAATGTTGGTTTTGTTTAATCAACACGATCCTCTTTTGTTCAACAATAAATAATTCTTTTTTCATTAATGAAAACTTTACAGCAAAAAAAGTAGAATGTACAGCACAAATGTAACATTTTGAGTGTACCTTTCTCTTCTTAATAAACATTTCTTGTTCTTGCAGGGCTTAAATTAGATCAAAAAGTCAAAATCAGGGTGGAACCAGGACTGTTTGAATGGACCAAGTGGGAAGCAAGCAAAGCAATTCCTAACTTCATGACTTTGACAGAACTGGCCGAGGCCTCTTACACAATAGACACAAGTTACAGGTAATTGCTCCATATTTAGCTATTAAAGCCATTTATTTTTTTTTTTCTCCAGAGGTATCTCTTCATATTCTAATTTGTCAGGTACCAATATGAACACTGCAAAAAATGGGTGATTATGGTCAAATTCAGCCCTGCATGATCTGTTCCCAAAATATGATATGCTGTCAGCTGTCTTGTGCCAAGAGTCAACTTGGTTTGCTGCTCTGAGACAGTGACACACATGCACAACTGAGAATGTGCATGCACATAACACACAGGTGCACCTGCACATGCACAATCATCTGATACTTGTGCATGGGATCAGCCCTTCTTTGGTGTTGCCTTCAGATCCTCTGACACAGACCAATGGCTTGTCATGCACAAGGATAGATGTATTATAGGCGTTAGTGTCAGGCACCAGGAGTTTTGTTTTTATCTTTGGCTGATGTGAAGCATGCTTTAGAATCATAGAATCATATAGGTTGGAAGGGACCTTTCAGATCATTGAGTCCAACTGTTAACCTAGCACTGCCAAATCCACCGGTAAGCCATGTCCCTAAATGCCCCATCTACATGTCTTTTAAATACTTCCAGGGATGGTGACACAACCAGTTCCCTGGGCAGCCTGTTCCAGTGCTTGATCCCCCTCTCAATGAAGAAATTTTTCCCAATATGTAATCTAACCCTCCCCTGGTGCAACTTGAGGCCATTTCCTCTTGTCATATCACTTATACTTGGGAGAAAAGACAGACCCCCACCTCTCTACAGCCTCCTTTCAGGTAGTTGTAAACAGTGATAAGGTCTCCCCTCAGCCTCCTTTTGTCCAGGCTAAACAACCTCAGTTCCCTCAGCTGCTTCTCATAAGACTTGTACTCTAGACCTTTCGCCAGCTTTGTTGCTCTTCTCTGGACGTGCTCCAGCACCTCAATGTCTTTCTTGTTATGAGGTGCCCAAAACTGAACACAGTTTTTTGGGTGCGGCCTCACCAGTTCTGAGTAGAGAGGGAAAATCACTTCCCTCTTTCTGCTCACCACACTATTTGAAACAGGTCAAGCTGCTGTTGGCCTTCTTGGCCACCTGGGCACACTGCTGGCTTATATTCAGCCAGCTGTCGACAAACACCCCCACTTTTTCCACCAGGCAGCTCTCCAGCCACTCTTCCCCAAGCCTGTGGAGCTGCATGGGGTTGTTGTGACCCAAGTGCAGGACCCAGCACTTGGCCTTGTTGAACCTCATATAATTAGAAATATAGGAATATGAAGAACAACCTTTTGGGTCAGTAACATGCTTGTTTTCAGCGACAAAGAAATGTCAGTTTAGAAAAGGTTAGGAAGCCCTTTATTTAGGGCCTGCAGAGCAGCAGCAAGAGGTCCGCCCCACAGCAGTGGGTGAACCCAGGCTAGGAGGTGTTGGGGAGCACAGCTCCACACCTGAAACATTGCGGGTTGGTGTCACTGAAGCAACAGCTACAAGAGCTGCTCTCCAGGTTTTGGGGGGCAGGCAGAATAGTAGCATTTCACTAGAATTTTTGTTTTTGCCAAATTCGGTCAGGGAGGGGGGTTGTTTTGCTTTGAGTTGCTCAAAGATTAGTACTGTGCTCAGCAAGGACTTTCTGGGGCCCTCACAACATCGGGGGGTGCGAGGGGGTGGTGGTGGTGGTGATGCCTTTTCTGAGTGCTTGCAAACCACAGCAAGGCAGGAAATTATAAGCCTCCAATTCAATCTAGCTCCTCATCTTGCTCACAAGCCAGGCTGCTCTGTGTTTGCAGCGCACAGCCAGATCCAGGAAATTACTCAGCTAATAAATGTGAGTGTCTCTGGGGTTTCCCATAGACACAAAAAATGGGGAAAGAGAACTTCTCATGTCTTAATGCATTTCTGACAGCCAAGTAACAATCTTCATTTTAAATTGTATGAAGGAATAAAATCCTTCATTTTCTTTGATCATAGTGCTTTCTGGTGTCTTTTACCACCAACAGACTGTTTTTCCTAGGGTTTTTTGTTAAAAAATCACTTGTCTCAAAATTCCACATCAAAAAAGGTGCAAATGCAGAGCAGTGGGAAGTTCAGAGGGGAAGCTCTGAAGCAGTGCTACCTACAGGGTTTCAGATCCCTCACAGCTCACTCAGCTCCAGGCAAACGTGGGGTGGATGAGCTATAAAATGGCACATATGATGCCAGTTTCTTCCAATCACATGCAGGGTTCAAAATCCTTGGGTCTCAGGAGCTGGTTTTACCATATTCACCCACTGCAAATGACAACCTTCAACTAGGTTAAGTCCCTGATCGTTCCCTGTCAGCAATGGACCCAACCTAAATTCTCCTCTTTCTGGTGCCACTAAAAGGCAACATGAGTGGTGCTGAAACATGTGCTGCCCATGTGTTGTGTGCTGAGATGAAGTCACCTTGAGGTTCACCGGACCCAGTTGCAGACATCTAAGAGTTGGGTGCCTACGCTATGGTGGTTACCTAGCAGCCTTCTTGTTGGTGGAAAGAAGGAGCTATGAAGACAGTGATTTTCCATCTTAGATACCCTATGTCAGACGCTTAAGACAGCATGAATTGCCTTCTGAAGGGGCTTACTTGTCTCCTTTGACCTAGCCAGACAGTGGAGTTGAGGGCAGCTAAGCTTGGCTGACAGTAACCCTGCCTCTCTCTCCTCTCGTGCTCTGACAGAAGCAGAGGGTTGCTGTCCCAGAGCAGGATAAACTCTGCCTTTGCCATTCCTGCTGTTAAAGACTGCCAGTCACAGTGTGAGCCACTTATTTCTTTCCTCTTCACCCTTTGAGTGGAGAACAGAGCGCTCCTTTTCACAACAGCCCTTTGCAGACTGTTATCACATCCTTCTTCAGCCTGTCCTCTGAGCTGAACTCTTCCCACCCTCCCTCGTAGGCTGTGCTTTCTGGACCCCTGTTCACTGCTCCTCTCTGGATTTTTACTTGTTGATCCTCATCTCATTTGCCCTGTAGCCCGCACAGCTGGACACAGCAGTCCCACTGAGACCTCAGCTTGGGCTTAGCTCTCCTGTTGCTATTTGACCTGGAAACCACCTGGGCCAGTGCTGGGGATGCTCAGTTCTGTTGCAGGCTGTTTGGTTAATACTGAAGGGACAGAGGTGTAAACAGGACAGCACATTAAAAAAAATAAATAAATATGCAGCTCTGCCAAAAGGCAGACTAGTTTTGAGTACTCCAGTATAGACTTTTCTGACCTAGCCAGGATTAATATTAGCTATGATTAACAATCCAGCATGAGCTTTTCACATGGTTGTACCACCAATTTTCTACTTTTGCCATTTGTCCTGACTCAGTATATTGAGGACTCACCTGGGAAAGTACACTGTGATGCCATGCCTTACCACAATATATCAATCTAATTTCACTTCTACCTATTCACTGAATAAGGAGACAATCAAACTGGAGCAAGGGGGCATCTATTTGTAGAAAGCAAATTAACACTCTGTATTGTATCACAACGCTTGGCTAATGATATTTGCCAGCCATAGCAGTGAACGCCTCCCGTTTTGGAAGAAGATAGATTAAGAGGACAACATGAAAAATAGAAGAAGTGCTCAGATTCTTAGGAGAGGTTCATTGTGGTTTATGTTCTTGGAAACATTTAGTTTTTTTAACTCTAGGAGTGAAAGTTTTTACTATCCGTTTGTCCAACTGCTGCAGATATGCCTTGTTGGTGGTTGATTTTGATTTGCTTTCTTTATGAAGAAGACTAACACTGAGGTAATTTTTAAAAGCATTCGCATCATCAGTGCCTTGCCCTTTGTTGGAACTGGATCAGGATTGCTAGAGCTGGGCTACTCTGCATGTCTGCAGTCCACACCCGGGCAGTGGTCCTTCCCGACAGAATTGCTCAAAGTACAAGCTTTTCTTAGGCATGAATCCTACTTTAAATAATCTCCACTGTAAACTACAAGTTTTATTAAGGCATGGTTTTCCCTGCATCGGGTGCTTTATGAGCTATGAGATTTAGCCGTAAGATTTACGAGAAATTACTGTGTGGGAAGCTAATGCTCCATGCAAGCTGATGTAGCAGTATGTCAGCAGAGTCAGTAGATAAACCTATATCCTTTTAACCAAGTGCCTCTTCTCTGGTGGAGCCATTCAACAGCGCTAACAGTGCCCCATATTCATCTACGTTAACAGATATTTTCGATTTTATTGTCAGGGGTAACTTCCCACTCTCTTCTCTGGTGCCATCGGAAAGTTATGAAGAATACATAAGCAGAAGCTCTGCGGTTATAAAACAGATCGTCACTGCCTGCCCCAGCAAAGGTAAAGGTTTCAAATCTTCGTATGTTCTGTCAGACAGTTCCAGTAACAGGTACAGGCAGAGATTTGCCAAGAGAAGCACATTTAACATGAGTTGTTGATACTGCACAGAGCTTAAATTAGGCTCTTAGTCCTTGTTCTGGGCTACACTAAATCAAAATACATGTGATTTATTTAGAAATGAGAAAGCAAAACTAAACAGAAGACAGTGGAGTACTAAATTGGAAGAGTATACTTTGTGCTTGGTCTTTCTACATTGGGATGTAGCACAATATAAGATAATCTACTTTTCTGGAAAGCCTTTTTTTTAATCTTTTCTTAGCAAATGCTTTCTCTTACTAGCTGGCATGCCTACAACACACCAGACTTTTTCTGACCAGCACAATACATCCTGCCACATAATCAAAGAGGTCCGCAAAGATGAACAGCCCCAAAAGAGCCTCATGCTCATCTGCTGATGGGTAGCCTGACAGTGCTACAGCTCCCTTACTACTTTGCTTTGCTTTCTCTGGTATATCAGGTGTCATCCTCATTGTGGGCCATGGCTCTTCCTTGGCATCTTTCACCCGACCTCTGATAGGGCTCCCTGCCAGAGACAGCAGCGACTTTGCCCAGACGGTACGAAAGGTAAGAAGATATATTTTTTTTTTCAGCAGAAATCTTTGTTTTGGTTTATTCTATTTTTAATAAGAAGCTTGGTTACACAGTGAGATGCATGCCAATACCAATGACATTAGCTTTCTCATTACAAAAGGAATCTCATGTAGTTTTAGCAAAGCACTGGAGGTCAAGAGAAGAATTTTCTCCTGGTGAACAGTATGTGACTAGCAGCTAAGTCTTTGGAGAAGGTTTTCATCCAACTCACCTGGAAAGTCAATGGCAGGTAACACCTACAGACAAGAGGCACATTTGGAAACCTCTCCATCTGGAGCTAGCCTCCTTCCTTTAAAAGGAGGGCTAAGAGCTTTCTCTCTGTTCCCCATGGTATTGTGAGTGTAACCTGCAGCTACATTCAGTGAGTCACTCTTTAAGAAGCTGTGTGTTTTTCAAGTCAACGTAAGTTCACTTCAGTGTTCAGCTACAGAATGAGGTGGAGAAAGGTTTTTTTTTGCCAGCTTCACAAGTGGTGCCTGCACTTGAGACTTGGTCGCCAAGGTTTTTCGTTTGTTTGCATATTAACACCAGTGGCAGTTTTCTTCACTGCAGTGTTCCTTACCATCTGCCTTGGTGTGACCAACCAGAGAATTCAGCCTTTACATATATTTTTACTACCACTGTCTGCATAAGAGTGAATATATTTTGATCATCAAATCCAAGTATGAATGTGGGGTGATGACACAAGTTCAGCTTTTGCCCCGCAGGCCTCCAGTCTATTTTTAGCTCATTTCAGAAGTGGCAAAATGTCCTGGTCTCTCCTCACAGAACATTCTCAGGCTCTGCTCTCTTCGGTAGCAAGCCCTCCTCTGTCATGTCAAAGCAATGACCCTGCTAGTAACTCTGCTGGTAAATTCTTTCCTAGATCCCTTCACTAGGCATGTGTTTCTGTGAAGAGATTAAAGAGGAGAACAAATGGCAGATGGTCAACCCACCAGTGAAGACATTAACTCATGGAGCAAATGCAGCATTTAACTGGAGAAACGGTATCGTGGAAGATTAGAAGGCCAGCTCTGCCTTTGCAGTTGTCAAAAATGAGCCAAAGACAGATTATGGTTCAGCACAGTCCAGTGATTCATCCAGACAAATTACAGATGGTGGGAAATACCCTCTCTGAGTTGCCAAATCATAGGAAAACACTTCTGAGTTTGGTGCCTGAATTTTGTTTTCATTTCAGTGGCTAAGAAGAAGCAAGCTAGGAACTGGTGCTCAAGTGAGCAGTTAACTCTACTGATGGTGAAAAAAGTACCTTTTAACCTTTTCTGAGAGTATCAATGTTTAATAAATGCGGAACTATAAATTTCACTACTAGAGGCACTGAAGTAGACAATGTTGCATTTTCCAAGACCAATATACATCCAGGAAGAATTGCTTCTTTTCATGCATTTGGATATTTTCAGACAAGCAGAGAAACTGGGACAGAAAAAAAATCACCTCCTACCCAGAGACCAGCTCTACCTAAAGCCACTGAGCTTCCTGTTTGCTGCGCCAGTTCTGTGAGGGGAAATACCACACTGACTATTTATTTGCCTATTATACAAAGTGGTCCACCTTTTATCACAACAGCTCCTCATTCAGTGATTCCTGAGTGATCCATACTGCAAAAAGGACTAAAATGGTTCCTTTTTGAAGAAAACTGAAGGGATTGCTTTACGGTTGCTGTTACTGTACTGGTGATGAAACCATGACATGAGAAACTCTAACTGCTGAGCACTTCCTGAGATGGCACTCCCAAGAGAACAGCTTTGTTTTGTGCTGTTCCATGCCAAATTGTATAAATGAAGACACACCTACTGGGCAGGTCACCCAAAAGGTCTCTGTAGCTCTTCTTTTAGTGATTTGTTCAAGGGAATGTAGCCCTAAAATTTTATGCACAAAAAGTAACATGTCTTTCCATAGTTTTTTTTTCCTTTGTAATTTTTCTTTCTAGTTTTCCTCTCAGATAACTACCTCTGGGAAAGCACAAGTGGTTTTCTTTCAAAGAGAGGAAAAATGGAGGGTTCTCTTTCTCTCTTAGCATAACTAAAAACATTTTCATTTTTACCCTTCATCTCCCTACTCCTTCTTGACATAGCCCTGCATACATGTTGTAAGCCGTCAATCAGGACATGCAGAAGAGCTCATCCAACATTCAGGCTTTGGGACTGAGGCATCTGACAAACACCCTTATCTGTAGGTATGTGTCAAGGTCCATTTGGATCCCCTTTTGCCCAGAGTAGTCTATCACATTAATTCACCATTCAAGTCATAAGACTTCAGAATTTATAACCCATAAATCTTAATATCGTGCACCTATGAGGAAAAGAAAATAATTTATTACCCAGCTGGTGGTGAGAATGCACACCCTTCCACCTCCATCATGGTATGGACGTCCCCTGTATCACACTGAGAGATGCAAAATCCTCAGCAGTCCCACTGCTGTTGGATCCTCTTTTAAAGTGGTTTGGGTAAGCTGATGTTTTATACCCTCCTGCTTGGAGGTTTGGTCTATACCATTTCCATAGGTTAGTGGATTCAGAGGAAACTGCCAGACAAAAGACAATGGCTGCAGGAGGCAGCAATTTGTAGGTGGTCATGGCTGCACAATGGCCCTTTAGGTCTTCCTGGCCTTCCTGCCAGGAAGTGGTGGTCTTGCTTTGACCTGATGGTCCCAGACCCAGCATACATCAGGCCTTAGCATGAGCTGTTAGCCAAAATCTAAGCAGGAGTTGAGTGAACAGTCACAGTGTGGAGATTTTGTATCTCAGTCTTGTGCCTGAAAAGAATCATTTTGTCTTTCTGGCTCTGATGAAGTTACTTGAACTCTCGCTTCTTCCAGCAATGCTATAATTTTAAAGCGAAAATCAAATGCCCCAGGTCCTTTAGCTGGCACGTGGTGCAAGGAAGGGTATAGGACTGCCTTGCTGCTTGAAGCCCAAGCACAAGAGATGGGTGGCTATGGATGCAGCCCCAGAAAAAGCTAAAAACCCCAAGTGACATCACACCTCACTGCGGTGCTGAGGAGACCGTGGCTTGGTTACTCACCCGCATCTCACCCTGTCACACGCTTGCTGTCAGCTGAGAGGGGCAGGCATGGTGAGAGACAATTTTGCACTGAGCCCTGAAGACAGAGGCGTGGGTCCTCTGTGGTCTTTATGGAGGGCTGTGAATCAGAGGTCTAGCTGAGACAGGGACATGCGATACAAGAAAACCAGCGTGTAGGGGAAGAGCCCGCTAATGAGAGAGGGAGTGACATCTCCATGTTACACTCAGCCATGCTAACAGCAACCAGCAAGGGTCTCCCACCACACCGCTTGCTGCCTCAGGCTGTGCTCAGGTGATGCAGGGTCTTTGGGTGCCCCATTTCCTCACCAAAGAACCCATCCAAGCAAGAAGGGAGTAGGAAATGTGGACAAGAAATGGAGTGTGCGTTTCTGGGTCAAGCTTTTGCTAGGGATACAGCCTCTTGATAAGGACCTGGTGCTGTTCTAATTTGTGGTAGCAGCTGTACTTGTTATGGTGAATGCTGCTGTTGTCCTTCACGTCTGAAAAGTTGCCTTTTACCCCCAGACAGCTGGAGGACTTTGCAGTCTGCGTCGCACACCTTAGCCTATTTTCTTTTCATCCTTTAAGTTGCTCCAGCCTCAGGACTGATCCCTTCTCTCTATGTGAGAAGAAACACAGGCAAGTCATGAGGATTGCCCATCCCTGGAGGTGTTCAAGACCAGACTGGATGGAGCTTTGAGCAACCTGCTCTAGTGGGAGGTGTCCCTGCCCATGGCAGGGGGGTTGGAACTGGATGATTGTTAAGGTCCCTTCCAACCTGAACCCTTCTATGATTTTATGCTTCTATGATTCTGTTCTCCAGTGGGGCACATGTCTATGCAACTGTATTGCATAACAGGAGGTCTTGTGCTTGGTGGCCCAGGGACAGATGCTGGTTGGGGCAAAACAAAAGCCCAGGTGAGGGTAAGCATGGAAGGGATTGGTAGTGGCGTTCCAGGTTCATGCAGAAAGGGAAAATGTCTGCTGCCCAAATGACACCTCATGAGAGTGGAGCATGATGGCACACTGCTGCACCAGGAACGGAACCAGGAGCAGATAAGGACAGGTAGGTGAGACCTGTGATCTCCTTGTTACACGATGCACCTGCCTGCGGGGTATGGAGTTGGCACCAACTGACAAGAAAGAGAAAAAAGAAACTTCCTTTAGGAATAGTACTCTTCAAAGACATTTAAAAATCTGGTCACTTTTATTGGCATAAGCATTATTGGTATAAAATTTCAAGTGCTTTCATGCGAAACTTTCCCCTACCTTTTCAGAAATAAGGGTTTTTTTCTGTTATACTCTTAAACTTTAATCCTAGGTTGTGCTGTAAATACTAATTTGGGTTAAGAATCTAGGTCTTCTTCTAAAACACCAAAATTTACCACTGAATGACATCTCTTCACCCAAAATCATTGTCAGAGTGGGTCTGTTGTGAAAAGTAACCAGGAAGAACAGCATCATCTTCTTTCTTTGAACATCTTTCCTACACTGCTGCTGCTGTGGGCAACACAGCAGTGAAATACTTCTCTCTGCTTTTCACTCCTTTTGGTCTGCAGAAATAATGTTACTAAAAGTCAGTTTATGGCACTCTAATCCTGTTACTGTCCATCAAGTTTCTATTCAAAACAAGTGTATGCAGGCTGCCCTAGAGGAAGGTGTTGAGAGGGGAGATGGACATGGCTGGGGGAAGTGCCTCTCTCTGGTAGGACCTTTCTTACAGGTTGGGGAGGACTCGGGGGAAGGATTCAACCAGCTTACCCAGTCTTGGCATGTAATCAAAAGACCCATAAAGCATGAACACTATTTGCAAACTGAAAATTCTTAATAGGCAGATTGCTAAGACATTTAAATCAAAATCCCTCTATGTTTTTTTTTCGACACAGGTGCACTCCAATTAATTTAACTTCAGTGAATGCAATGAAGTAAACCTTAGAGCACCTTAGGGAAAGAGGTTTTGGGGACTTCAATGTTTCTCTTGCAGTGGTTCTAATTCAGACTGAATTAGACCTGCAGTGCTGAGCAGATGAGGGCAAGTGCTTAGTTGCGAAATACTTTTGGGAACTTATAAATACTTCTCTATTCCTGCCATCCAAATCAATTGAACAGAAAGAACAGGCAGCAGAAATAGCAAGGCATTGAAACTGTATCTCAGTCTTAATAATGAAAGGAGAAGCTCATCTACTGACAAGGTCCCTGCTTTTGACTTTCCTGGGGCCCCATGTGAGCACAGGTTCATCTCTAAAGAACACTTTTTAGGATCAGAGCTGAAATTGATGTACTTTTTTAATGTACCAAGGTTCTTAGTTGTAAAATCCAGTGCTTAGGAGAGAGAGAGAATTCCTAATGTGATGTGTTCATAATATGAAACTAATCGCTGAACACAGGTGAAATGAAGAAAATGTCCTCAGAATCTTTGAAGTTCTTTTTGTAATAGGCAAAAGAAATAAGAAACTCTTTTCCACTTTCGATATTTCTTATGCAACTTCAAAAAATAGATGTTACTTTACTCCATTGCAGTTTTCTTTAATCGGATCTATTTCATTACAATGTTATGTACTTTAACAGATGCTTTTAGTAATACTTAGAGAATCTGAATGTTTTGTTTATATCTTAGACACTGAAAATATGTATTCTTTTGATAAAGACCTACAGTGAAGTTAATGTATGGTGACACCTTGTGGGAAAACACAACCTCAGATTTACATGACTAAATAGGACCTGATGTGATTGAGGGATGGGGAAGAGAAGCAGCATTATTTTTTTTTGAGCAAGAATGCTCCTTCCATACACTTTGACAGCACAGTAACAGATATTTATAATATTTGCGACTACTTTTAGGCAGAACTGAGTGGAGAGACACTTGAGCCAAGTTCTTCCAAAAAGCAAGATTAAAAAAATGTTATGAATATTTGTTCCTGATTTTTCCAAAGCTTTTTCCTTGTGCAAGAGTTGATACTGATGCAAGGTGAATGTGCAATTCTGCTGACTCAGAACAGTAGTTATTTCTGTACACTTTGCACAATTTTAAATCATTAGGCTGGGAGTAAAGCAGTGAGTAGATTTCTGGCTGTCCCCTGAGAGCTTTGTTATTGAAATGTTCTGAAACAAAAGGAAATTTTTTGAAAAGACTGTATGCAGCTGTTTCTTGGGAGTTCAAAAGAATGTATAGGTCTAATCCTGATATTTTAGTGCTTACTTTAATGGGTGATTAAAAATTAAAATGTTCATGACTCTTTGAACTTGAGAACAGCATGAAAGCTTTGAACAAATGAAAAATTGTACTATGGGGACTAGGAAGGATAGTAAATCATTTAATTTTACAGTCCAGTTTTTGTGGAAATCACAAAGGGTCTGGAGAGCACTTCAAGCCTCTTGATTCTAACATCTACTTAGAAGAAAAACTTGGAGGAAAACTGCACAAAACCTCCAAATGGGATCTCTCTGAGCATCCTGCGTTCTTGGTGAGGATACCCAGGAGGCAGCATCTCCTATCTCTATGGGTGTAAGGAATAAAAATAAAACCATATGGTTAAAAGCATTTAACCTGATCCACCTGAAAATGACTCCTCAATGGAACTAGTTGTGTAATTAAGTGTTTGGAAAACCAGGGCCTAAATCTGTAACATTTTGGTGTTCAGATATTGCTGGATTGGGGAGTGGGGAGCAAATAGAGATGCTACAAACAGACATATGCTTTCTAATTCACAGCAGGAATTTCTGTTGCAAATCTGTTCAAGAAAAATCATTAAACCAGTTTTGATAGAACACATTTAAAATAAAATGACCTCATTTCTGTCTTTTAAAGCTCAGTTGTCCCTGAATTTGTCTGATGCTAAGATGATATAGTTTCCCAACTGTTCTGCCAGATTTCTCTTGCCACCTGTGGCCTACAAAGTTGAATAAATAATACACAGAATGGAAAGTGTATGCAATATAACCTATTATCTGGTACCAAGTTATTCAAAAGATGCCAAAGCCATCAGTCTTTATGAAAAATAGCAAGCTAGATGT